AAGGGTTTTGGAATTTAAAATAGAATAAAATGATTCACACCGCTGCTTTTCCTATGTTTTTTCTACAGTGAGAAAGAAAAGAAAAACTTGTATATTAGCGTGAATATGAGTTTTCGAAGAGAAAAAAAATACGTCAACACATCTCTTGTAAGCAGAATGAAAAGAGACGCGACAAACTTTTTATGACTGAACAACACGCGCCTGGACGCATCCTTCTAGATAGACAGAAGGAAACGATACCTGTTTAAATGCGTCAAACTGGATTCGACCGTACAAAATGCGTCTGGACTTGTTACTGGGAAAGAAAAGAAACGCGTTTAAACACGTCTGATTCTAACGCGTCTAGACGCGTCAGTAATAGCTTGATGAAGCTGCGCGTCTGAACGCGTTTCTCGCGGAAGAAGGTAAAGAAACGCGGCGAGACGCGTTTAAAAATGTGCGTCTTATCGCGTCTAATGTTTTCCTTGTAAAACAGGCGTTTAAACGCGTCTTATTGTAACGCGTCTAGACGCGCAAAATTTTGTCACCTTTAAACGCGTTTCGTTTCATAAAGGCTTGATTTTCGCACGAAACAGTCTGCAGACGCGTTTAAACGCGTCTCAAGGGTGTTTATTGAAAAAACGCTCCTGAACGCGCCTTTTCGAAAGGAAACGCGTTCCTTCAGACGCATTCGATTTACATGGGTACTATAATGGAATATTCTTCCGCTTGTATTCTGACAGAATAAAGCTATAAAACAATGAACTTTTAGAAAAATTTGGACTAATCACACACCTGTAAACGGCCACAAAGGGACAGATGTCGTGTACTACTGTACTTTGTGTGTAGACAAAGTCATTTAACCTGCAGATCTTTTATATGCCGTAGCTAATCGATGAAATTAACCAAAAAAATATTTGAATTAAAGTATATAGAAAGCTGACTATTGCATACATAAAAGAGACGGTAAAACGGAATGGGCTTTATCGAATAACAAATCTTAAATTTTTTAAAGTTTTGTTACATGTTAACGACAGGAGCATACTACTCATGCCCAAAAGTATTGTGCATCATTATTGTTGTTATTATTAATCATTTGATGGAAGTCAGCATCATTTTTAAAATACTTCAAATAAAATTCATAAATAACTCTTGACTTTAGATGTCCAACACGTGTAAAATTTTGTCAATATAATTATTTGAAATGCCACATTGTATTAATGATTTAAATGAGTTTATTCGGCGGTCTTGTACAGATTTGTAGAGAACACTTTGGGCCATCTAGCCATCATGTTACAATGCTTCAAATTCAAATTGAATCGTCCTTTTCAAACTGACATAGTTTGATATATCGATTTTCCACTGTTGTAAATAACTCTAGCTTTGTTTTTTAGACTTGATTCCACCATGTTTTACTGGGACTTTTCTTCGAGAACATGACGCAATCAGTTATTTTAGTCTTTCTCGACCATCTGGCGCTCTCACCATGTCAGAATCTTTATCTAAAAAAAGAAAATAAGTTATTTTCAATGGAAATGACAGTTCAAAGTGAGTACACAGCAATTTGTACTTTCTACTATTCACTCCATCCTCTGAAATCTTCATGTTATCTTTTGTTACACTGTTGAACGTAATTTTTCAATAATCTGTGATGTGTGGTCAAGAAATTTCCCGTCAGATTGACTAACGAAGGCCGTCCATCAACTGTCGAATCGCTTTTGAGACGAAACGTAGTGGGTATTAGGCAGTCGACCATGTTGATTCCGAATATCGACATGAGACGGGCAGTTAGGCCTCCAGAGACCCTTTTCTTGAAAAACCAGTTTTTCAGAACCTCTGAAAAATAACTAAAATCTTTCTTAATACTGAACTTGGACTTCCAGAGAAGTGTATCCGTAAATATCAGTTCGTTGTTAGAGCTAATCTGGCATCCTGTGAATAAGCTGTATAGGTTGGCAGCCAATCCTCTGTTTATCAAGCAGGACCAAACTGATACTTGCTACATCCTGAAAGCCGCCAACGGCAAAGAGATCTTACACTCAGAAAACTCATAATTGTGATGATAAGCATCAACTATTTGCTGTGTGTCTCACTTTTTGTGCATTTTTATTTAAAGATCTTGCACAGTCAATATCTTTAACTTAGCCTATACAACGAAGAAAGGACCTTAGATTCGGTACATTTCTGAGAAGAAAGCCCTCAAAATTTCGAATTTCATTGATCAAAGCAGATCGAAAAGACAAGACAGACAAAAGTTTGGCTCAAGAAAGTCAAATGTATGAGGTATTCAAACGCTTGAGACAAGGGACCCATGCGCATGAGTTTCTTGAGATACGAAACTCAAGCACATGAGTATAGAAAGTCAAGTGCATGACATCGAAAAAAATGCATTTTGCATGAGTAAGAAATGTCTCCACGCTACAGGACTGACGAGTCAGAGTCGAGTCGTGTCCGAGTCATTTCGTAGTGGTTTCGACTCGAGTCGAGTCAAGTTATTTTTGCCATTTTTTCGTTTTCTGTTTATTTTTATAAACAACGTTTATAATGATTTTTCCATGACACAATATCTAGTTCCTACTTTTTATACACAAAAAATCGTTCTGATGCAATATATTCAATTAGGACAAAAATGAATAAGTGAAAATTTAATCTTATAAATTATAATTTTTTTATAAGAGAAAATCAAAATATTTTTGAATGAATTAGAGTTAACGCGAGTAAACGTCACCCAATTTTCGAGTCAGAGTCATGACTCTGACCCGTCCAGCCCTGCCACGCCATGAGATTCTTATTCAAGAAATTTAAGAAAGCCATGTACTTAAGAAAACAAGCTTCACTAGAGTAGCGAGTGTGACACTCGAACTACTTTTTACTTTTATCTTTAATCGATAAGTCAGAATTTGAATATAAAAGGTCCTAATTTACAATTAACTTAAAAGCGAATTTTTCATGATTTCTCTTTTAAAACGTACCTCAGATGTTTGTACAGACAATATGACTTTCTAAAGAATTCAACTGGAAATATGAAGCTGGAAATAATTTCTCATACTATCAGATCTGCATAAAATCGCATGTTTGTAGAAACCCTATTTCAAGCTATCCTCGAACTCTTTCTGCCACACTGAAAAAAGCATTGGAGACGGGTGCTAATCTCTGATTCGCGTTACTTATGACTGAAAGTAATGCACGAGTTACTTTTTTCTCTTTACAAAGAAATCAAACAGATGTGTTATTCGTTAGAAGAATAAAAATTCTTTTGAACGATGTAGGTGGTCTAATCTTATTGACAAGTATTACTACCCAGATGTATTAGAGAAAAAAATACTTCACGTCATATATTGTACTATGAAAAAAGAAAATAATGAAGGAAAAAAGAATTTTTTTCTTTATTATACAAGCGCTTTTTTAAGTAACTACTAGTAATAGACACGAACAGACGAGAAAGTTGAAGAGAAATAATATTTGTCATACACTTGAGAAGGCAAAAGGTGAACGAAGAAAGTATTTTATATCATTCACTCTCATAAACATTTTTGTCGTTAATTTATATTAGAAGTATAGTCATCTACAAAATATAAAAACATAATTTTCACTTATCGTCTAAATTTCAACGAAAACTATGAGTAAGTTAGGTAAAACATTGATATTGAGTAATGGGTGGGTTTCGTTCATATATTTCGTGGTCCTCCATCAGAACGAGCGAAGGCAATCAATCAACGGTTCCACTAGGAGACGGGTAAAGCAATGATTAAGTGACAAAAAAAAAAAAAATTATTGCGCCACAATCATGATAAGAGATAGCTGAGCTAAACAATGGTATATTATTAAAGCGATATGAGGAAGAAAGCCTTGACAGTACAAGGTGATAAATTCTAACAGAACGCCGACGTAATAATGTAAATTTAGCAGTTGAATAGAAAAATTCTGGAAAAAAGCACTCTTGTCTCTATAATCATACAGCTGCTGCCTACCACTGTTTCTTAAAACATATTTTGTGTTCTTTGGTTCAACAAACTTAATGTATTGATTGGGTATCCTGATTAGACCAAAGTAATATTTAAAAAACATGCACATTCTATTGACAAAAAACAACTCAGAAAAATGTAACCAGCGTTGATCCTTAAATAATTTTATCATTGAGGTACCATTCACAGTAATGTAAAACCGGTATTGCTACCACTGTTATTAACCAATAAAATGTTGAATTGGTGTCGAATGACTCATCCTATATATGACACTATTGGAGCCTATCTAAATGTTTCTTTTCAGACAAAATCTATTATATGGAATTTGTTAGACTTTATAGCTTAAGATTTGACTTTTTAACATTAACATTTTTTGCCAGGACATGAGATATTGAGGGTGCCTTAAGCTTAAGCTATACTAAATTGCGTTTTAGCTCCAAAAAGGCCGCTAAACCAGTAAACTTTTAGAAAAAAACCACAGATTTGGTTGATCAGCTATGGAGAAAGGTCAAAAAATCCAAAACGTCGGTGGTATAGTATACGAACGTCACCATGTGCCTATTTCTCTGAATAGATTTTGTGACAAAACAAATCGAGAAGAAATTGGGGATGGATTTGAATGGGGATGGTCAAATCGGTGGTATATTTTTCATACACCATTACGTTGATGTTTAAATTTCATCTTGTTCAAAGGTCGTGGTGGGACAAATACTGGACATCGACCTACGGCTGGTGGAGGTATTGATTTATGTATGATGTTTTGCTAGGATTTGCTCAGTTCTTTTTATACACCTAAGGCATGATGGATAAACTCGAAAAAATCACTCATATGGATCTCAACGGTGATGGACGAGTTGGCGGTGGTCCGGTAGGACATTATCCTCCTAATGGAAACAATCAACAGTACGGTGGTTACCCTCAAAATGCAGGTAGTGGAGGTTACCCTCCAAATTACAACAATCAGTACGGTGGGCAGTATCCTCCGAATGGTGGCAATCAGTTTGGTGGACAATATCCTCCAAATGGTGGCAATCAGTTTGGTGGACAGTATCCTCCAAATGGTGGTAATCAATTTGGTGGACAGTATCCTCCAAATGGTGGTAATCAATTTGGTGGACAGTATCCTCCAAACGGCGGCAATCAATTTGGTGGACAGTATCCTCCGAATTTTGGTGGTCAACAAGGGTGCTATCCTTCGAATCATAACCATCATCAAGGATACTAATGATCGATGACTTCCTTTTTCTGGGCACTTTAGTTAATTTTTTCGTTGCGTAATCGCGCTTACTACAAGGCTTATCTGCCTGTTTCGACAGACAATGTTATGTCTGAAAGTTTATACTTATGTTAATTTGTAACATACGCTATCTAAACCGATATGTGAAAGCTTTCGTTTTCGTAAGAGTGATTTGATCTCTCCCTGATTCTGTGATGTCTATTAATCAACTCTCTTGCTTTGAAAATTACGCTAGCTGATAGAGCGACAGTCATAAAAGGACAACTAATATTGATCGGAAATAGTAAACGTGATCTTAAACAGTTGTCAGCTCTAAATCGTCGTTTATGCGTGCCCTCCAGATCTAAGCCGATATGTACTGCTATTTACTCATTAGTCGCAGCTCCAATAAACAAACGCTCATATGTGGCTACCGATCGATAAACATTTTCCTGTCACAGACTATTTTGCGAATGATGACACCTGTAATGAACGTTTGCCTTTTTCTCTAAGTTGCTAATTACACAGAAGAATTGCGACTTTTCGACTAATTTGTTCTAAGCCTTAACTTTAAATTGTAGAGAACATCAAAAGCTACGCAAATAAACAGATTGAAGTTTAAACGTCGTTTGCTGTAAAACTCGCAGACTTTGAGATGTAAGGTATCTCAGAATGAGCTGAATTTTGTGTGTGTAGAAACTAGAGGCTGTCCTCATTCCAAATATGGCCTTATTTTTTCGATTTGACTCATACTTACGGAGTTACGAGGGCCGAAACGTACCAAAATTGACGAGTTATGATGTTTCATGAAAAGTATCAAAAATATATTCTTAGGTGTGTAGAATATAGTCAACCGAGGTAAGACATGCGTTGTATCCAGCTTTTTTGGCTCAGGGAAAGGTCTTAGACTATCAAAACCATAGTGAAAAATGCTCAGCTCGATGAAAACTATATTCTACACATCTAAGAATATATTTTTGATACTTTTCATGTAAGTATGAGTCAAATCGAAAAAATAAGGCCATATTTGGAATGAGGACAGCCTCTAGTTTCTACACACACAAAATTCAGCTCATTCTGAGATACCTTACATCTCAAAGTCTGCAAATTTTTCAGCAAACGACTCTTAAATGGCATAAATTTTGAAATATATTTAAATATGTTTTATTAGTAGGAAGATGTTTTACTATCCTTGGCTGCGAGATTTTTTTGAAAAAATTTAACTTCTACCTTGCTGTATAGTTGATCATAAATCAATGTGTATTTACAGTTTATTAAAAAACTTTATAAATATGTGTGTTGATGTGACGCAAATATGCGTCACACGCAACCAAAGGGTAAACATAGTTCTACATGTTTGATTTATTTAATCAAACTTGTGTAGTTTTATTGAGAATTGATTTATCAGAACGTCGTTCTGATTTTATCCAAATACTATTGTTTGATAAAGTACACAAAACCTTTTTTCTTGTTCGATTTATCGCCCAAAGTTGGTGTAAACTTTATTTGAGAGTAAAACAAGATCTTAAAACAAATCGAAATCACAGTCCAATGGATTACATTATACCAATTTGTAAAGATTAAATGAGTAGGAAATATAATAACAGACATACAAAATACAACATAAGAAAAAAAGACGAATAGAGGCTGGTAGCTGATACAAAGAAATATAATTACAAAAAAGAACTTTTTTAAAGTATATTGAAGAGTAGAGGAGTAGTTGAGGTGGTCAAATGATCCTACGGAAGAGAGAGAGAGAGAGAGAGAGACGTCTTTCAAAGAACGTATACAGATTTAATGGAAAAGGAATGCATGAGCTTCAGTATCAAAGCAACCACGCAGCCAGTCAGTTAAAAACGGTTAGTATCCGAAATGAAGACAGACATTTCTTTTTGTTTATGACTGTGTATGTGTTTATTCAGAATATCCTTCAAGAGAATGGTATTCAAGTCTACTTTAAAGCCTGCATTATGAAGTTTAGCAAATAATATATTTTGTGGATAATTATAATGAGGATATTTAAGGAAAAAATGTTTTGTATCTCCAACTACTTCAATAGGAGGTGATAACAATAAGCAATTTTCACAAAGACGTATAGGAACAAGTTTATGTTGCTTTAGATGATGATCTAGCGCAGAGAAATCAACTCTTAGGCGACAAAATAGCGCATCAGTTCTCCGATTAAGTAGACAAGGTAATTTATTGGCAAGAGGCAACAAGTAATTTTTAATTTCTCTACGGAATTTATGACATTTCAATTTATTTTGAAAGCAGAGCTATCTAAAAGCTAACGGATAGTGTATTATGCGAAAGGCTAAACTGGAGATTTTTGTTGTTCTGAGATACTGTGATCTCTTTTACTCTGGAGACTATCTAGACATTTTAGTTTCTTGGTATCCCACTGAAAAAAAAATTACGAATTCCTGCGTTTACACGCATGAATTTGCTAAAACCTTGTGACTGTTGGATATATACTGCAGGTTTTTACATCACGTTACTTTGCCGAAAATTTTCCTCCAGTTGGTGAATTTAGCTAAGCAGGATTCTTTAACACAATCACTTCTCAAGTTTCTTTCCTGCAGGATCTTGGAGGATTCTTTTCTAGGCACACCCCGCAGGAGCTTTTACATGCGTTCACCGGGTATATCTTGCAGATTCTT